ATACTCTTGTCATTAATCATTTATTGCATTTTTCTGCCTAAATTAAATCCATGATACAATTACCATAATTTCTTTTTTTTTCAAACTTTCACAATTTTTTTTTTGTCGTTTGTTGTCAAAAAAATGATTGATTTAAAAATTTTAACATTAAATCTTTTAATCTTTGAAGAATTTATCATCAATTTCTGTCTTGTCTAGTAATCCAATAAAATTAATCGCAAAATCCTCCAGAGATTTAAATATTCACAAAAAAATAAAAAAAATGAATTCATAAACTTGATGGATAAAAATTGTGTGGTCCATCATAAACCAAAAAACAAGACTCATAACAAAAATAAAGTAATAACAATTATCCCCTTTCACTTTCCATCATCACTCCGGCACGGCAAATGCCCGGCGCAAAAGAAATAAAAGCCGAAGAAAGTAAAAATGATAAATAAAAAATAAAAGGAAGATTTGCTAAAACAAGTGAAGGCAGAATAGAAGTTAAAGGGAAAAGGCAGGAGGCTAAGTTAAAGGCAAGGCGGCACTTTCAGTTGTGGCAACGCGATAATCTCTCCTTGTCGCAAGGATCGTTGAGTATGAGAGTGACCACAAACGATTCAGTGGATGAGACCATGCGAAAAGAGAATGATGATGCAAACCGGTTGTTGTGTACTCTTCTTGAACCCCCTTTCTACACATACTTACTTTTGGCCGTCACAACACACTCATATACATACGCTAAATTTTTATCTGTATAAATACAACATGACACACTCACTGAAGCATTCATACTGCTGGTCTTAAGAAATTGAGACGCGGTTATATATTACCAAATATATCAACATCTTACCTTTACTTGTGCTTCCAAGATATAAAGTTGTTACCAAATATAAACATTTAAGAAACAGTCACTTCCAATCTTACATCATACTTAAAACATGTCTCAGGTATGCACGAGCCATAAACCCTAAAAAAATACACCACATAAATTAGCAATTTTTTTTACCACCAATTCGTGTCTTGCCGCTTAAAAAAATCAATTTGAGTGTTCAATTTTTTTTTCCAACAACTTGACCAAAAACAAATTTTTTTTTTTTTTAAGAATGTAAAAAGCAATTGATCCTTAAATTTTTTTTTTCAATTTTTGAAACTGCTCAATAATATTTCTTAAAATCAAACTGAAATTCATACTTAATTTTTAACAAAACAAGTTAAAAATAATCGTCAATTGTAATTTTCATAGCAAAGCGCGAGCTTTATTAAATGTAAAACTTTAATAACTATAGTATCAAATATCCCACAGGGAAGGTCCTCTTATCAGTAATCTCCTAGCATAGCAGCGTAATGTACTTGATCCCGAGGCTCAAATCCGAAACTTCCGCAATGCAAACAATCGGACTCACCTGTATATTTAATATCTAGCATCTAGCATCTAGTATCTTCTTCATATTTTAATACTTTCGCAGTCCTTCCGTATTCGCAAGCGACGGGGTCTATCATTTTGACTTGACTATACACTACTTGTATTGTTTTATTATTTAAGCGCCATACTATAGACTTTTACACTATTATATATCGGGCTTTGTGCCGTATACGGGCTTATGCACATGCTCGGATTGATAAATTGATGATGAAGCTTCTGAATTTGCGGATAGAGGTTTTATGGGCTTATGCTTATGCACTGAAAAAATATCTAAAATCAATAGAAAACGACGCTGAGTATTTTCTTTTTTAAATAACAATAACCAACAAAACTATTATTCTCCACCTCTTTATTCGGCTTTTTTAATCAATATACCAAAAGCTCTTAGTTTTTAGTCACACAAAAATAGATTCTTTTTTCTTAGTCTTTATTTTATAATTATTTTTTTATATTGCAATTTTTATTTTATAAATCTTTTTAATAAAATAAATTTTAAAAAAAATTACAATAAAGTTGGATATTTTTCAATTATTTAAAATTACAAAAAAAATTTCATAAATTAATTAATACAAATTCAACAAAAATTACAATTTATTTTTTCGTTTATTGCACAATTAAATTTCTTTCACGTTTAAATTTACAATTTTTTAATAAAAAATTTTTTTTCAACCAAAATTTTGTCACTTCAAAAATAAAACTCTTTTAAACAAAAAAAAAATTCATTCAAAAAACCCTTTAGTACATACTTTTCAATTATTAAATTCCGTCAATAATATTTACAAACTATTAGTGATAATAACTAATAACAATTATTAATAAAAACATTCACGTAACCTTAAAAACCGGTATCCAGCAAAAGATCTCGCACTTGTTATTTGCATTTCATTATATTTCAGTATTATTATCTTTACCCTTACTCTTACTTATTAATTCTTATAATTATAGCCATTAATATTAACATTATTGTAATTAATTTTAAAATCATCTTTGGTCCTCCTCACCATTACAATAAAAAAAATTACAAGTTATCGCAGAAACAATTACAATAATTACAATAATCATACAGATATAGAGTCGCGGTCTCAACATAATATTAAACTGTTTTTGTTGTCTTTTTTAAATTTATGAAACTTTAAATTAGTAAACATTTTTTTTTCTTTTTTTACCGTCCCTTATTTATTATTATTTTTATTGATTGAAACAATTATCCCGCTAACTATGTTTGAAAGTTTTTCAGCTTCTGCAAGTCCCTCGTGTCCGTACATATTAAATTACATATTATTAAAATAACCATAACCATAACCATAATCGTAATCGTAACTATTAACGTTAACTATAACCATCGAGTCTCCATGACTAGAATAGAACTCAATAAATTTTTTAATTTATAAAAAAATATTAGAATGCACTTTTATTTAAACATTTAAAAAAAAAAAAATAAAAGTTTGATTACTCCAAATGTGCATGTCTCAAGCGTTCATGTTATACCTAAATTTATTAAAGAAGTTCGAGTTTGAGTACAATAAAAATAATGAAATACTTTTAAAGTTATCTCAGTAAATTTTCTCTATAATTCACTTTTAAAGTTTGAATTTTCCCGCGAAAAAGAATGATTCTGCGAGCGGAACCCTTTTATGAGTGCTGACAGTTTATTAAAATTGACAGGAATGCTCGCACACGTGAACTCTATTATTAGAAACTCTGTTTATAAAAAAATATGGCTGCCTCATTAGTAATTTTTTTTTTTCTAATCGATTTTTGTTTAATTTAACCAGATGAAACTTTTTATTTTTATTTTTAAGTAACTGTAGAATATTACGCGCTTAAGGCATGCAAAAAAAATGTTAAATACCGATGATAATTTTCAGAAAAAAAAATTATTAGTTGAATGTAAATGGCACTTCGATTTATTTTAATTAAAATAATCAAATTGTCTAGGCTTGGTTAACGATCGCGAAAAATGTATGCTCCACTTCAATAAAATATCGATAGATCGTTCATCAGACTGCTGGCAGTGGATAAAACTTATTTGTTAGCGTTAATGCGGTGTTATTTCTCGTTGACTCGGATTCAATCCGTCGTATTTTCCAATTGTCTTGTATTTCTATTCTTACTTTTTGCTATTCTTCCTTGTCTGCAGCATTCTTTTGGATTAGAATCGGTTCATTTTACATTGCTTCCGGGTCATGGAATATCTGGTATTTTTTCTCCCTTGTAAATTGTTTCACTTGAGCTCCTCTACTCTACTCGTTGATCTTATTGGTATTTTTTACTCGCCTGGGATCCACAGATTCAATCGTAATCGTATAATCGGAGTCATTGACTCTACTCAGTAGTCCCGTGAAAAGGATTAGACGGGGGCGATCAATCCAGTCGTGTTCGGCTGTCTTAAACCAACACTGCCTGAAATAGATAAATGTTATTTTTACAAACTGTAATTATATTATCGGTCGCTTGAAACACGTCCAAAAATTATTACGTCTACCCAAGCTTACATCTGATAGACGAAGTTTAGAAACCACATGTACGAAACATTTAGATACTTGTTTAATTATATATTACAAAAAAAATAGTCTTCTATTTAATTTCATCCATTGGAGATTACAATTTAATCAAAATATTTATGAAAAATTATCAAACAATTTTTTTTATTTATTTTTATTTTATTTATATTTTTTTTATTTATAATAATAATAATTAATTAACTTTTTGAAAATTTTTTTTAGTCATAAATTTTGTTAATATTTGATTTTCTAATTCTACCATTAAATCGAGCAATAAAAGCCTCAAAAAAGTGAAATTAATTGTTAACGATTAAGTAAACATAAAATTGTAATTGATAAAAATTTTTTTATGCAACTTTGGCTTATTCTAACATTTAAAAAAATTGTTAATCAATAAAAAAATTTTTAATCAATGGAATTTTTTGTGATATTAATTTTTTCAACAATCTATTTTTTACTTTCTATTGCGAAATATCTTTAAAAAAAAATTAGTACCTTTATAATTTTAATAGCTTTAAAAAATCGATTGTCATCCAAACTAGGAAATTTTATTAAATAATTTCGCAACTAATTTTCCTTCTAATAGCGTAACATGTCACTAATTTGTAATTACGTCGATAAATTGATACGCAAAATTCCTAACATAGTACATACATAGTCCCACGTAACACGTGCTCTAAATGGATCCCCGAACGCTAATACAATGTAATATAAACGATGTTGTAACTCCTCTGTCCCTCTATTACGCACGTCAAGCTTTTCCACCCACCGTAAACGTGACTCGACATTAAACTCTTGTAACCCACCGTATACATATAGATATAACTACCGTCGAAACGAATCATTCTCTTCTAAACTCATCCGCCCGGTCCCATCCGTGTGAACATTCAACTCATCTCATCTCAATTCAACCTTTTATTTTTCTACCTTTCATTACCACGTCTGGTCTTTCATCCGATGTCAGGAATTAAAAGTCGATAAATTATCCGTCCGATTGCACAATTACCAAATAATAGAGTCTAATTATTGTACAAGATATAATGAATTGTAAATTATGAATTATAAATATTTAATAAAGCGGACCTGTATCAGGCTTCTTGTAGTTCTCCTTTTATGGTAGAGACGTTGTGATGATGCCTCGTAGATAATTTGTTGGCCAACTCGTGCATTACATCGCGGTAAATTATCGTGTCTAAATTTTCACCAAGCATGTAGAGGAGGAACCAGTCGCCCACCTTGCTACGTCGCACTATTGTCTCCACTGCGTCTCTTTTTACTAAGTGAAACCTCAGTTTCAATAAGTAAACTCTCGTACGCGGAGAAAAAATTATGACAATCTATCAATTAGAAAATATGCATCCATTAAATATTAATTTTATAGTTAATTTTTATACTTAAAATTAAAAAAAAAATTAATTAAACAATAATTGACTCAAAAAAATTGGTAATTTAATTTATACATTTTAATTGTAAAAATTCACTGTTAATTTTTTATCTACAATAAAATTTTATTATTTATTTTTATATATTAATTTTCAATGCCAAGGTTTGAAAGCTGAATGAAAAAATAATAAATAGAAATATAGATGCAAGTTCACGTACAAACTAGCAATAATATTATCATAACATACAGAGAAATATTTATTTTATCTTTTAATAATTTAATAGTGCAAACTTGGCAATTTCTTCTTCTTTCAAATAAAATTAAATTAAAAAAATTTAATTTTTTTATAAACTCGAGAAAATAAAGTATTATCTTTAGAAATAATTGAGTCATTAGAGCAGCGGAAGTGATGAATAATAACAATAATTAATAACTAATATACTGACCCTATATATAACAGTCAATAGGCTAAGGATGCCGAGAAGTAGGAACCAGAACCACAGGAAGACGTAAATTTTCTCATTAACGACATTTAGCGGAAGTATACAAACAGCATCATGTCTCTCAACTTCCCCGCTGACTCCGTACTTGTAAAAAGTGCACTTGGTCATACGCGGAAAGACGTAAATCATGGGGTCGATTCGGTCTTCTTGGTCGGATTCGAGGAACCTGAGGACGTCGATCCCGAAGGTCAGAAATGCGCCATCGAAAAAACGGTCCATCAGGAACATCTGGCCTGCGCAAATTCACTGATAAATAATAGTCAACTTGATTTAAAAATAAAAATGAGTAACAGGTAATAATAATATTACAAGTAATGGAATAATAGGTTGCGGCGATAAAGCAAGGATTGCATGTTCGTTCTCATTTTACAAAGAGTTGGCGAGTTTTGAGTTGTAAATCTGCCAAATTTAATGACAAAACCGTAACTACTCGTTCATTCACACAGCACTGGCAATATGAGTGAGATATTTACCGGAATATTATTCTCGACATTTTATCTCTCTACTCCATCTCAATCTCGATTGCTATTTTATTTTTTATCGTTGCGGTTATTAATAATAACAGCAAATCTTGAATTTTTTTAATATTTAGATTTTTATTTGTAATTATAAAATTTTCTCCACTCACCAATAACATTCACCAAGGCTAGCACCTCGCAGAGATAATATCGGTAGGCCCACCAGTTGTGGTAGCGGAGATTTTCCCACAGATAATCGAGAAGCATTTTCTTCTTTTGCTTCTTCTCCACCTCAGAACAGAGACCGATGTCGAGGTCCATCATCAACGCGTGAATCTTACCGCCTTCCCATCCCTTCCAAAGCCATCGCGGCGTGTAAAATAATATTGCCTGTAATTAAGCAGAAAGATTCATTTTTTATGATAAATTTTTGACAGCAATTTTATTTTTAATAATAAAAAAGCTTGTGATTTTTTTTTCATGGAAATTAATGATGTTCATGGTTAAAATTTTTAAGAATTTGTCAGTCAGTTTTTTTTTTTTTTTATCAACACAATAACTTAATTAGAGTTTTTAAAATCTTGTTTGACTTTATGCCGTCCGATAATTACAAAATTAAATATTGTAAAAAAATAAAATTTAAAAAGTAAATGTAATTTCATTTTAAATTCAAAATTCAGGCTGTAAAGTTTTCTTATAGAAGTCTTTAAAATTTTTTTCAAGATTTCATTTTTTCGTAGCACCACTTTACAGTATAAAATTTAATTTTTATACTTTTTCTTTTTTTATAATTAACTTTCTGGTGAGGAGAATATTTAGTAACTATACGCAATCTGTTAGATATTTTCAAAATTACTTTTATTAAAAAAATTATATATATCCATTTCAAAAATTTTTTTTCAAGGGAAATGATCTTGAATTGATACAAAAATCTCATAGAAAATGATTTAAAATTTTTTTTCCGAATTTACTAATTTTTCAGGTCACTTTTACAATTTTTTTGAACATAAAAACTTAATTAGAATTATTACGACCATTATAGAAAATATCCAAATTGGTCACTTGTTATCAATTGATATGTTCACCATAATTCTTGTTTATGTAGAATATAGAAAAAGATACTTGAAGATTTAATTTAAAATTAGTTAATGTTGAATTAGTGAACCTTCTTGTTATAAAAATAAATTATAAATATATAAATAACAACTAAAAAGCGAAGGAGGAGTAAAGATGGAGAAGACAATAGAACGAAGACGTAATGTCGAGGACATGACTCCAAGGCCGACAGGTGAAAAGATAATTGAAACTGTGAACAAAGAGCTACGAAAACTTAAAACTTACAGACCGATGATAAACTTTGTCAGGGTTTTAAATAACCCGAACATTTAACATTGCGCAAATACTTCTAGTAAATATAAATATATACAAATGTAAATTAAATAAGCAGCCAGGGCCGGGAATGAGACAATAGAAAATTACGGGCTTGGACTGTTCAATCCGCAGATACTTGCGCAATCTTCAGTTTTCTATGCTATAAATTATGAATTTTAAATATAGCACATTTGTATTTATTAATAAGGATTAAATTTCGTAGCTTTAAAATTGCTCACTAGATTCTAGTTACTCTTTATATTTACCATTAACGCAAATATATAACGCTGTAAATTTATATTGCAGCGTGTTACGGCTCGAGTTTGTTATTTACGATTTCCTAAAGCAAAAGTTTAACTTTACAAGCTCATTTATGCTAAAAGAATACTTACTAAATCGTTAATCGATTACTGTAATTACTCTGTTAAATTATTTATTATCAATTACCGCTATCGTGAGTTTGATTTATCGTCAATATATTTTATATTATAAAGATTTCAATTAATATTCAATATTTTATGGTAATTAATTCAAGTTAACCATAGTTGTCAATTAAGGAGGAACATTATCATGAATTTTAAGTGAGTTATTTTCTTCGGTTTATTAAAAGTAACTTATAAGAAATTTGCCTTATTATATAAAAAATTTAATCCTTTACAAAAAAAAGTATTTTATTAATTTCTTAATCTTATTTAAAAATTGTCATTTAATAAAAAAAATTATAAACATTTATTTAAGCGCTCAAATTATTAATTAGTAGCCAAAAATTTTTTTCATTGAAAAAAAAAAAATAATTTTGAACCAAGATAATTATTTTGAAGAATTTGGTCATTTTTAATAAAAAAAAAAATTTACTCAAACCCAAAAAATTCTTCGTAGAAAAACTCTTTAAAATAATTTTCTTGGTTCAAATTTTCTTCTCTGAAATTGAATAAAATTAATTTTTTTTCAGTATAAAAATTACTCATTATAAAACACTGATGTCTTCTAAAAATTCTCGGTATTAAAATAAAAAAAACCTTTTAACATACGCCATAAAAAATTCACTTTCATCCTCAATTTAAATAAATCAATTCCCCCCTAAAAAATTAAAAAAACCATAAAAAAAAAAAAACAAAGAATAAAAAAATGAATAAATCGTCCATATTTATCATGGAGGTAAAATATTATCGGATATAAAGTCTTTAGCGGATTTTTGTGCTGAGTATATAAAATAATTATCATGAGTGAAGAATCCGCGAGCCGTTAATTACCGGATATCACGGGAAATGTAGCCTCGACGTTGGCTGGACCTTTGCCCGGGAATTAAAAGCACAGAAGCGTGTAATGGCATCGGCACGCGGGATTTCTGCGCACCGGCACCGGCATTGCTATAGATATAGATATAGATATAGAATATACACAAGAGTATGTAGAGAGTAGAGAGTACAGAGTTAGTACCAGCCAACAGCAGCAGTAACAGCAGTATCACGAAGGGGAATAGAGAAAAGGACACTTTGGCTCGTTAATTACATCGGGATGGGAATACATTGCTCCGTCTGTACACATATATTTATTATATCTATACAATATACATACACCCATTGCATATACACATACATATACGTGTACTTATGTACGCCTGTATATAAATATAAATATAAATATAAAAGGGCTGGCTGCAGACTGTAGACTGCAAAGCTGGTTGATGCAGCCTCCGCTTACCTCTGACTTCGCTAGTGCAAATTATTGCAAAGCTACTGAGCCATTAATCCCACCTCGGTCTTTCTTAACCTCACCAGCAGCTCCACCACCAAAGAGCAGAGAAGAGCACTGTGATCTTGAAATAAACGACCAGAAATATGAAACTTTTAGTCCTTAGCTTTAAACAGAATGTTAAATCAGACGGAACACGAAAAACCTGTTTCTTTAAGTTGTTTTGCATTATTCTGCTATTCCGTCAGATCTTTAAGTATCTAACAATGCTCAAGGTATTTTCATTTCATTTTTGAACTCTCCCTTCTCTTATCTATACATTTTATTCATCAACACTAAATATATTAAATACTAATACGCGGAACAGAAGGTTACGGCTAATGGCTACTAGTGCTGGTGGATATTAATAAATTCCTTGATTTATTTGAAGACTCAATTCACCTGATAATAATAATGACCTTAGAGTCGTTAAATCTCGGATGATACTTATATACAGTCAGTCGCATATTTACAGAGTGTTTAGTTGTTATTAAGAATTTTGCTTATTCGTAAATAGCTTTATTTAAGCTTGGGCAAATTATTATCAGTTGCCGGGATTTGTCTGCAGATCTTGAATTATTTTCATGATTTTCTACAGTTTAATATTTATATTGAAGAGGATTGTTCAAAAGCCTCGCCTCTTTTTAATCGCAATTATTGGAGTCTTGATCAAAATTTTTTTTTGCAGTTTATTAATAAAATTTTTTTGCTGTTTAATTTTTTCTCAAGATTTTTGGAGTTTTTGGGAATAATCAAAATTTTACTTCCATTGTGCTACCGAATGGCTTTTTTTAAAGGATGAAATAGTAAATGCAATTAAATTCATAATGTCAGATTGTTACATGGCGTATAATACGTAAAATTTTTTTCTTTTGCCGAAAAATTGACGAGATTCCTAAAAAAGTTGATCAAAATCAGCATATCAACTCAACAGCAAAATATACCTCTAAAAAAAACTATCCATTAAATGAATTGATATATCGAAAGAGTTAATTCAACAAAAGTAACAAATGCTAATCTGAGCCCAAAAGTTAATCAAGATAAGAGCAGGTGTATATCATTGAATAAATTACACCTAAAAATAAACACTGTAAGGTCTTAATCAGCATCCAACGAGTTCAGTAATAATAATAAAATAAAATATGTATAAAATAAAATGGATATGGATATGGATAATCTTACTTGTAGCAGTAATGCGAAAATCACCCACTGATAATACTTGTGATGTTTAACAAGCGGATGATTATCGTTAACATGAACATCAGTTTTACTATTAGTAAGCCCCGGATAAGGAACAGCACGTCCGACAGTCAAATTAAAGGCATTTATCATGCTATAAGTCGTGTGTAACCAGCAGAATGTTTCTAGCACGGTAGTTTCTACCGCGGATGAGCCTTCGCAGTGGATCGGCGACCCGGAGATGCTTTTGCAGGCCAATGTTAAGCATCCCGCGAGCAACAGAGCCACTGTTACGCGGTAATGAAGACGGAATATCAGTGTGTCCTCCTCTGTTTTTCGCACTTTAAACAAAGACCTTAGCGATCCGAAGATGTCAATCATCTTTAACATTATTGGCATTTTTATCGGCTTGTCTAATTCATCACCACGACCACTGAACCCTAATTATTTACTATTCCTGTTCGCGTAATCCAATAATCCAATTCACCAGGAATAAATCATCGTCATATCACTGATGTGTTCATTTTCTATTGTTTTACGGATTTGAAAATTTCAGCGGATTTTTGATGAATTTTTTGAGTCACTGTCACTGTTGAACGCAAGTTGCAGGAAAATGTTTGGGGTTGCTGTAAGATTCTGATGATTTTTAGCGTTTTTATGAAATACATTTTTGCAAGAGCGCGGAAATTTTGTCAGACAGTGGAGACACAAGAAAGAAAGAAGCAACTGCTCTAAGACTGACTTTAGTCTTTAGACTGACTTGAGGGGCATCCCTTGGCCTCGAACGATGCATAACTCTAAAACGATGCATTATTATAACGTAGGCAAGCTTCGATCCATCAAAGTCTCGATAAGATTAATGCTCATTGTTAAATACTTATGCTAATACTTTTATACTAATGCTTGATCTTGATGTCAGTTTATTTTATTGGTAAGTTTTATTGTTTCGTTTATGAGATTTGCGTGCTAAGAAGGTCCAATTGCTGGGTATGTTCAGTTAAATGCATTAGGTAATAGTGAGAAATTGATTTTTTGTTCTAAAGTATCAACTGCTAAAGTTATCGAGACTTTTTATCGGCGGATGATATTTATCAGAAAATGCGTCATAATTTGAAACTCATCACGTCATTTTAAGAAGTGTTGTGTTAATAGTTTAAGAAAAAATCATTTAGTATTTTAGATTCAAAATATCGTATCAGGTAGTTACTCACTGAATTACTTTGGGTCCAATTATACTATCTGGATGTAAATCCCATCACTGTTTTTATAAAAATATCCTCTCTAATTCATTCTGGGAATGATGAAAGTAAACATGAAAAGAATTTGGTAGAGTGAAAAATAAAATATAAATAATTTAGAGAGGACATTCTGAGATAAAACGCAAGTATCTAAGACTAAAACTAAGACTAGAATCATGACAAACCCGACTAGGCATCCGGGTCATTGTCAAACTATAGTTAGTTGGAGTCGGAGTCCAACTCAACAATTCCGTGGGAGACCTTATTACGGCCTCGACCGATTAATTATTTTACTTTTTTCGTTACTTTTAACCCTTGTTTATTATTCCATTCATTAATACTATTAGATATCGATTTTTTTATTATTATTGATTACTATCAAAAAAATTTTTATGAGTTTTTGCTTTAGAAAATTGAAATTAAAAATTTTTCAATGTTTCTAAAAGAAAATTTTTTTATTTCGCTTTTACCTTTTAACTCTTAAAAATTATTGAATCAAAATTAAATCAGTATTTCCGATTAAGTTCTGAAAAACGTTCAACATCTCATTTTTATTATTACTATATTTCATCATTATTTTACTTTCCATCAAATGTTTGGCTATAGCCAAAAATTAAATAAAAAATTTTAAACTATGTGTATTATTCATAACTTTAATCATCAATAAAACGTAATAAATCAAAAAAACTGTTTAAAAAAAATGAGCAATAAATTAATTATTAAAAAAATTTTAATGAACCCTTTGAGCTGTTTTCAAAAGCAGAAATAAATGTTCCTTCATATATTAATATATATTTGCCATCATATATGAAATATTTACATTTTTTCTTTTCATAAAAGAAGATACATGCTTTGAGTAAAAAAAATATACTTATATATATCCATGTCTAAATATATGTACATATTTTCTTCTTCAGAACAGGGAAGACTAGTGTTAAATTAAAAATGTGAGGAATTAGCACCCAGCTATAATAAATAGTAAGGATTTTAAAATAAATAACAAGTTTTAAGTTATTGTCGTAAAAATATTTATCCTTGAGAATCACTTTATAAAATCTTATTATCGCACATATAATGTGGTTGGTATTAAAGAGACTTAATGAATAAAGAAGACACATAAGAAAACAAACAAGGTATACAAAAGTTTAACGTGTAGAAACATTGAGCTTCTCCATGGTTGGCTAGTCTACCCCAGTCATTAAGACTTTTGATAACTATCTTGTGATAATAACAACAACACTAATAATGACAATAGACGAGGTAGCACTATTATAATAAGAATAAGAAAAAATGACGGTAATGAAAATAAAAATATAAATAATAATAAAAGAAAATGACCCCGTACACGAGCTTTCAGTGATACTTAAGGTTTCTTTCTTGGCAATGAACTAGATCGAAGAGCGCAAGTAAGTACAAACATAAGGATGTCCTTATGCAGAAGCGTAAGTGGAGTTTAGATGATAAAAGTTCTAACAAATTGTTTGTTAAACAGTGTTTGTTTATTTATTAGATGTCCCGATCGGTCCTGTGGGCGATATAAATAAGAATTTCTCTAGGTTGTGGGTTGTATTGTGTTTTCAAAGGAAAAATAAGAAACAATTTTTATAATACAGTTTTATATTTATATTTTAAAACAAATTTATTGAGAAATAAAATTAAAAAAAATCGTGAGATTAAATAAAAAGTTATAAACATTTGAATCAATTCAAATTGGAAATTTTTTTTGGAGATAAAAAAATTTATGGTTGTTAAAAAAAATTTTTTTCAAATTTAAAATTACTGAATAAAATTTTAGATTTTAAATTACGTTAATTCTTAAATTTTGTATAGGCATTAATTAAAAAAGTAGACTTTAAAATAACTGTATAGGAATTTTCTTTTTGAAAAAATAAATAAATTAGTAAATAATATCAATCGTTGAAAAATCGAAAAATTGAGAAAAAATAATCTAAATTTCAAAAATTAAAAAATGAATATCGATAATATAGTGTATTATAGTAATAATAATAATTGTAATGAAAATAATTGTGTAATGAATCTGATAGTTATAAATTAGGCATGCGGTTAGTTACAATTTGGAGTTGTGATGTATAACTTCGATAGTAAGTAGGACACTGTTCTTTATATACACGGTTGATGAAAGCACGTGGGTAATTTTTGGATGTTAAAGTATAAACTAAAGTCTTAGATAATATCGGAAACTTTTGTTTATTTTTTTAAATACATTTGAATTAAATATTATCTGGGTTACATCGCTAATGTATTTTTAATTCCATCAGAGTTTAAATATGTCGCTTATTCTTATTCTTATTAAATTTAACGTGTTTTTGATAAATGCTCCATCTTGTGGATTTATACTAAAATCATTTTTATACTTAAATCGCCGGGTGATGAATTAATGGCTTTAATTTCCTTTATTTTTAGGTTTGTTTTATTTTGTTATTAATAGGTCAGTTTTTAATGGATTGATTTTCGTCATTTTTTATTTATTTAGAAGCTTTGATTAAGTATTAGTATAAGAAGATTATTTTGAGTAATCTGTTCCTTCGGCTATTAAGATCTTATAACAGCGATTTTTTTATTTTTTATTTTTGAATAGTTAAAAAAACATTCTTATTTTATTTTATTAGGAATCTTGTGAATTATAAAAGACGGTCTAAATCAATTTGTTATTTTTTTGTCTATTTTTATTAAAACTAAGTATTTTTAAGTTGGAATAGAGAAAATTAGGTAATTGTTTAGATTCACAGTTCAAAATTAAAATTTTTTTTCTATCACATATGTTTTTTTTTTAAAGTTTAACAAAAATAGAATTTGAAAAAGAAAGTCAATTTTTGAATAAAAATTTAATTTAAATTTTCCATAAAAAAAAATAATTTAAAAATCAAACTAAACAATAAAAAAGTCCATAAAAAATTGTCAAACATTCAAACAATAATTGAAAATTCTCATCCGTTTGCTAAAATTCACAACTCATAAATAAAAAAATAATTAAAAACTCCTGGAGCCATTAAAACCGCAGCAAAGGTCGGACTGATAAGATATTTCCTGTGAGAAGGAAATTCCAAAGTACAAAAAAAAAGCAAAACCTTAAAGACTATATGTTCCTAGTATAATTTAATTTAACAAGGTTGTAACAGAATCTTGATAAAAAAAATAGCAAAGTAATTCTTACCTGAAAAAAAAGCATGAAGCAAACCCATTGGTAATACCGATATTCCTTTCTCTCACTTTCAGGATACAATCTTGAATTATCAACACCTGGGAATGCAACTTCAACGCCGCCTTTTTTCTTGTACGCCGATACAATAGTGTAAGTGCTGTGAATCCAGCAATAAGTGTTGAGAACATCTTCGGGTAAGTCCTTACTATGTATGCAATCTATTGGATTACCCACGTACTGTCTAGTCGTTACGATAAGTGAGCATGCTATCAGTCCTATCACCGTAAAACGGTAGTGCAGCCGGAACACAGATGTGTCCGTGTGGATATTTGAACTCTTAATAAGGCTTTTTAAGCCGCGGAATATGTCCAACATCTTTTACCCCAGAACTCCAGCCGCCGATTTGAATTTTGAATCTATTAAATATCTATCCAGTATCGTCCGTGATAAGGATAATTTTCTACGCGCAGTCACTCTCCACGCACGTTTTTCTTCCAAAGGACCCATAAGATTATTCGCTTCTTCTTTATGTATCCGCAGTCGTTGCATTATTTTATTTATTTTGTTGAGAAATTTCGTACAAGAAATTTTAAAATTTTCATTTTATACATTTTTTTAGCATAAAAAATATTTTTTTCAACACTCGACTTGAGTTTTTTTACATTTCTCAAAAGTATAAAAATACATTTTTCTCGTGGTCGTGATTTTTAACGAGTAATAAATGAAAATGATTCACTTGACTACGAAGATATAGTGATAATTTCGGAGAAAAGATGTTCCGAGTATCGTGTTGTATTTTTGTTTTTTATTTGCAACAATCGTGTTTAGTTATGTCACTTGGAGACTTTACATGCAGTGGAGTAAATGGACTCGAGTGAATATTGATTTAGCGAGTTTTATACACAAGAATCCCTTTTCCGTCCTGTTATTCAATAATGGAACAACAAATCTGACAGATGTTTGACAAATTGCCAATGTTCGAATGTTCGAGCACTCACCGATATTTTTCTCTTTTTCTGGCGTTAATATTTCCCGCGGATTTTAAACACAACACACCTGTTGATTTATATCTTACACTTTTATATGCAGGGATAAGAATCATAAATCTGACAAATCACAGCTGTTAATTATTCACTTTATTTCGTAAAAAATATCTTTCGATCTAAAAAATAAAATTTTGATGTCTTAAAAAAAAATTTTAATTTTTTTGAGAAAAAATCATATTTTTTCAAAAAAATTTGTTTTATAATTGAAAAAAATCAATAATTTTGAATTCAAATTTGAAGCCGCAATTATTGAATAAGATAACCTAACGCAGGAATTGAACCCTGATGATTTGGTTTTGCACCGAAAGCTCGCTATTAAAATACTCGATACTAGTGCTACAATTAAATACACCTATTTTGCCCCCACTTAAGTGTCTTACGTTTTATAGAAACTTATCTATACTCGATTCATGAAAAATTTTTAGAAAGGAAGGGGAAATTATTTTTATTATGTTTTTGTTTCTACTATTTTTAATTCTTAGAACTGGACATTGCCAAAGTTACCCACGTTATTTTTTATTTTAGAAAAATAGAACCTTTTTGTCAATATTAGAAACAATTAAAAAATGAACCAAACATTTTTTTGAACAAACAATTTTTTTTAATTTCATTAATTTTATTAAAAAAATGCAATAGCCAAAAACTAAATTTCAAAAATATATTTATAATTAATCTACCAACAATTATACAAGTTCCGTTTGAAAAAAATCCTAAATATAATTTCAAGTAAAAAAAAAAATAAAATATAAGAATAGAATAACAAAATAATTTATCTTTGACATGTATATTTTTTTTTGAAATTGTTTTATTTATTTTTCCAAGCAAAAAAGCCCCGTCAAGAACAAAGTGATTAAAAGTAAGGAACATCAAAAGCTGAATATCAGATTGCAAAGTCAACTTTTCTCTATTTTTTATTATTTTTTCATTTCATGAGCATCAAGTCCACGGGAGCCTGGAAACCCCACGAGGGTTTTGTAATTTTGTTTGATCTGCTCATTCTATTTCGGAGTTTCGCGTGTGTGAATTCTGAATGTGACGCTGAAACGCAGTACTTTGTTACTCGTTACTTGTTACTTGTAACTCACATGGGGACCGAGACTTACATTACATCTGAGTCAGTATGGTATATATGGAATTCTATATGTATGCTTGTACATATGTGTTGACACGGAGAGAAACAACCCAGCGAATACTGCAAAATTAAAGACGAATACAGAAATAGCTGGATGAGTCTACATCATTTGTCTCGCGGTCTTTTATACTCTTTTAGCTCAACTATTTACCCGTTTGTTTTCTCGATAATATTTTTGGGCAATAATTTTTTGATCATTATACTCCGTTTATTCACTTGCACCCACGTCCTCCGCGCGTGCCAACTTGTTGCAATTTCAGAGTAACGGTAGTGTTGATCATCCGACAAACCTATTAGTCATTGCCGTATTCATATACTCGATTCTATTAAATTTTCTTGCATTGTCTATATTAAATACCGAGCAGTCATACATTTCATAATAATTCTATTTATAAAGATTTAATTATTCATTTCACTTATAAATACTTTCATTAATTACCGGTCATATTTTACTATCTTATTTAAAGTGTAATATTTTATCCAAAAATTGTCACCTATATATTTATTTTACTCTATTCTTAATTCATTGAATTAAATGATTTAAATCGAAATTTTTATAAAAAATATTTTTTTCTCTGAGAATTTATAAATTTAAATTCAAAATTTTTCAATTAAAAACATTAATGATTTTTTTAGTGCACAAAAAGACATTTTTATTTGAGCTAAAATTATTTTATATCTTTTTTAGATGAAATTAACTTTTTTCTGTGTAAGTACTTGCTTGATATTAAAAAAAAAGCATTTATTCTTTTAAAATAAACTAAATCAATTTGTCTTTAAATTTTAAAAAAGTATAAGAAAAAATAAATAAATAGAAATACCTTTAAAATTTTGGAAAGAATTTTTTATTTAAACTATATAAAAAAATTCAATTAAAAAAAATCCCAAAATTAGTTCAAAATGATAAAAATCAAATAAAATACAAAAATAGCTCACAAACACTTCAATAAAGATAAACCAAAACAAGCTCTCTATTATTTTATCGAAAAATTAGAGCTTATTATCCCAGTGTCCAAACAATCTCAGTGTATAAAATATCTAGTTCACTTAGCATTCAAAATTGCACATGAAATAAAAATAAATCAAGCAAGTACATCACTATAAATCATCAGATGGTTCGTTGTCACAACAAAACTTCTAATCAAAATTTTAAAATACAGTCTACTACAAAATAATTAAAACTATCTCATAATATCTCTTAGCAAAATCCTCTCCCACAATATATTACAAATACACGTATATCGAGATCTTTTGCTCTTCACCTCATCAATTTGTCAGCACGCGCTGGTAAGCCTCCCGACGAATCCAAATAAATGCATCATGACATGAATGAAATTCACCCGTTTTATTTACTAAACCATCTACAACTAACTAAAATTATATCATTTCATTTATCTCCTGTCAATCGAAAGGTCGGCTGTCAACTCTAGAATTTTGACATAATATACAAATTTTTTTTTTATTTGTCCAAAATTAAATCCCGATCAATCACCATCACTCGTCAAGTTTGCCCAACAAACTTCACCTTTTATCTCACCCTCCTATTATAAAACTAAAATCTCCACAACTAAAATTGAAATTTAAAAAGCCACAACAAACTCGAGTGTTTCGTGTCCGTAAAATTTTGAAGAAACCAAAATTTCAACGGAGACAATCATTCACCGCACTTTTGTTCTCTTTCCACATAATGATGCATGCCCGCAATGCTGATGCTCACGACTCATTTCTATTCGGTTTAACGGCTTAGAGCACGCTTAGCTTTACTTCTGTTCGCAAGCTCTGAAGTGAAGCTTGCTGAGGAGGAGTTTCAGGGTGTTCCAGGAATAGAATCACCAAACTCGACGGACGTTAACGCAATACAACGGCCTCACGTTTAATCTCACACTCTTCTCTTCCCTGGTTATATGCATAGATCTATATCTATATATATCAATAACTACATGCATGTACATAAATATCTGTCTATATCTGTGGATACAAGTTTATGTATAGGTATACAAATTCTACACCGGACACACGTCGCGCCAATGTAAGAAACCGTTTATACTTGTATTATAAACGCGGTAACTTTACTTTTTTTTTGTACGGGCATTCTCATGAGAATGAGGAGCTGCTTGGTTAATAGCTTCACTTTTAGGTGTGCATTTTTATTATGGACTAGGGATTAACTAGCTTTTAGTAATTTTGTTCATTAGCATTAATTACCAAAAAGTATGTTGAAAATTAATTATTACTCAAGACGGGATTATCAGGCCAATTTTACTATTTTTGGATTTTGGAATTGGTTGATTTTTATTTTTAGAAATTTTAAGTGATTGGTTATATTAATTAACTGGCGAAGAAATTTCGGTGTTAGATAATGTTGTAAAGGTTTTAAAGAAAATTTTTTATAAATAATAAATAAATAAATAAATAAATAAAGCTAATAAATAAACAAAAAAATAATTGACTTTAAAAAAATTAATTATCAAAAAATTCCAATAAATATTAATTAGACGAACGAAACCCTTTGAAGAAAAAAAAAGGCTGGATTCTATCAACAAACAAACCCTCAGCCATAAATAAACTCTAAAAAAAATACTCGCTATGATCGTAGAGCTAATTAAAAATAAATAACAAACTCTCAAAATAATTTATATTATTAATCTCTTAGATAAAAATAATCAAATTGAAAATCCATTAATTTACAACCTCAGCCCCGGCTGAGGATCCGACACACTCGCGGCGTATATCTGTAGTCAATAAATCAAACTAATAATTTTTTTTTGTCTCAACCGGTAATACATCAACTAGACATAAAAGTGTGTGCGGTTCGCGAGTGTCTGACGTTGTCTATACTCGTAATATAAAGGTTGTAAGTGATGCACACACTCCGTCTGGCGATGTAAATATAATAATATAATAGCCAATCTAATCATCCACCAGGCGAACATCTCACATCACCTATATTAACACACTGAATACATTATTCCGTACACATATGTCAATTATTTTTTATTAAAATTGTACTAAGGTCAAGAATTTTTGATTTTTATTGTGCCAAAAACTCAATTTCACTCTTTCTTACTCAATCAGTCTCAAAATCACAAACAAGTCTGAGGGTTGATCGTCCAAATGACCAGGTTACATCCTCCCCACCCTTTGTCTAATTATTTCGGCTATAAATTTCCAATTTTTCGTCATCGAATTATCATTGA